AAATGGCAACAATGGGCCATAAGGCCCCTTAAAATTTATCGGAGGCCTTTAAAAAGGCCAGAAACGAAAAGTACGCAAAAAAATACATAAGAATCATGTGCTGGAAGAGTGATAACAGTCGAAAAAGTCGACGAAAATAATTGTTTTTCGATTCCAGGATTTTGGGTTTGAGGCGCTGCTGCGCCCTTGCATGGGCTCCGTTCGATCTAATATTTGGCACAGAGTCTACCTAAAACTAGTACTTTGAAAATATGAAACATTTAGCAAAATCCAGGTGGGGCCGGAAAAGGCCCAAAACGCAATTCCTCCTTTGTTCTCTATATTTTCCAAACACCAATTCAATCGGCGTATACAAAAACGTCCAATGTCCAATACAGTGTTTCAGAATTTGAGTGAAGGATTTTGTTGTAACTTAAAGACACAAGATGGTTTAAGACGTTAGGTATGTAGAATAATGCTGTAAATAATCCACTAAGTATAATTAAACGTTTACGAAAGAGATTGATCTTATCCATCAGTGTCGTGGGGAAAAAAAAACCACTGCAACTATAAAAACCCTGTATTGGACAATGGATGTTTTTGCATGAGTCGATTCAATTGTTAAATGAATCATTTTGTAGAATGTCCAGACAAATTACCACTTATTTTCTCTGAACTAGGAGTCCTGCATCTTCTGCTATTTGATGAGATGGTGCTCTTAATGTGTAGGTACACATTTTTTGTTGAATTCTGGATCGTTTTAGAAGTGAATCAATGACCTTTAGCACTAGAATGGGCACTCAACTCAAAATTTTAAAATATTTCTTAAAATGAATGGTATTTATAATTTCGCAAATAAAAAATTTATAAGGGTGCATTAATTATAAAACTCGAGAAAAATTAAAAGTGTGACCAATGTTTGTGTCGGAAATATTGAAAAATTTTGCTTTAGCCTTTGTCAAACATTTTAAAAAATTAGGAGTTTTGATTGGAGTTTTAAGTTTGAATTGGATTGCAAGGTTTGACCAACTGCCAAAGCATTCAACAAAATACGTAGTTTGAGCGTCAGTCCTTGGCGTAAATTAGGTTTTTATTGAGAAAAATTTCATTTTTTTAATGTATTATTATAATTAAGAGGAATACGGGGTAAGAGTTAATTTTTTTTCTACCGTCGTCCAATAAACTGCAAAATCTAATTTCTTTCAAATTGTTCTAGGCTGCATGAAAGAAATCTGGATCAATCACAAGTTGGTCGACTTCACGAACGCAGCACGGCAGCAGAAGGTGACGCCAGGCTGCTCTTTGGTCCAGGATGAGGAACAGATGGTCGAAGAAGAGGGTGAGCGACCGATAGAGCGCAAATTAACAGATGTCGAATCCAAGCTGGACGTTGGCATGAATGTGGACCCGTGTCTGAGCAACAAGTGTCAGAAGGGCTCCAAGTGTATCCCCAATGAAATGGGTGACTATACTTGCAAGTGCATGCCAGGCTTCACTGGCAAGTATTGTGATCAAGGTCAGTTTAATTTTTTTGGCACTTAGTTCAGGCTATTTTCCTCAAACATAAATGCAAGGCTAAACGTAGATCAGCTGGCATTTCTAAAAAGGGTAACATGTGGAATACAACAGTACAGGAGATCATGGATGCCAAATAGATCGTTGTTCATGACATTATGACAAAACAATTAGGTCCTGCACAGAAAAAGGCCAATGACAGGTCCTGGAAAGAGGTCCTAGATTGAGTTACATTCCTGGGAGAGGGTGCACAATGAGAGGGTGAAGAAATAGTATGCAATCCACAATGCCTTTATGGTTTAATAGAGAACAGTTGCTGTCAAGGGCCACTAATTGCCAGTGAATTCCATAAATGGACAAATAATTGTGTGAGCGATATTTTAGCCAAATCCTTGAGACAATTATGAACATTGAAGTGTAAAACCATTAGCTAAATGTTCTCCTAATTTCTTTTAATTTTGTTAATTAGTATCACAGTAGGGATAGAAATGTTTGAATGCTCCGTCTTAAAAAGCATTCTTGTCAAAAATTCGAAATTTTTTGGGGAGTAACATTTTTTAGTTTAATACCTAAATGTCAAGAGTACATATCTTTCTTCAAAAATGTCAACTGTTAAAAAAAGAATTTAATTCTATTCTAGCAGTTGATTTCTAAAAAAAGAAAAAGAAAACACCTGCATTTTCAATCTGTGATTGTGTAATCTTTAGAATTATTGTTTGCTGGTGTTAGTCTCATGGGCAACAATGTGAAATGACCTTTTCTCTAGTCCCTCATACTCTTCCTATCTTCTATCTTTGATTCCTCACAGTTGCTGCCAGTCAGGCCGTATTCATTTAATGCAATTAAATATATATTTAGATCCATTTAATATGTTTTCTTCTTCTCTCAGCGTTCTATATCTCATGTTTTTATCTTCTTTTTTTCTCAGCTCCATCTTGCAACAAAGTGCAAACCAAAGAATATTACACTGAGAACGGATGCCGATCACGGAAGCCTCTCAAGATGGCCAAGTGCGATGGTTCCTGCGGCTCCAGTTGTTGTCGTCCACGGAAAACCAAGCGGCGCAAAGTTCGCCTCGTGTGTAACGACGGGACGCGCTACACCAGAGAAGTGGAAATAATCCGAAAGTGCGCGTGTACAAAGAAATGTTACTGACTATCAGGCCCCTCCGAGAAACAACCCCAATCCACCGAAATTAAAAGTGAATCGAATAGTTCTGTGCTCCAAATCGCGCTGCCCCATGTGATCGTCGAAAGCCCTTGTGTGAGTGCGCCACGCTACTCGGTCGCAGTATACGCATCTGCAATCCTCGATTATTTTATTTATTTTGTACATATTTCGCTGTTTAGTCACTTGTTCATCGTAGTCATCTGGTCTGTCTGCATTGGTCTGTATCTGCTCCTGCCATAGCATACGTGCCATCGACTCTGTCCCAGGGTCGAATCATTCAGGCTGCGGGGAAAGCATTTTTATCTCAGGGTAACATTGTTTCTTAATGCCAACATCTATCCTTCAGCAAAAACCGTGCTTTCCACAAGACATTTCTCCTATCAAGAAAGAATCAAAAGTATATTTTGTCATAGCACGTAATATTTTCTTCTTTGAAATTGGGTTCTCTTGAAACTAATTAGATCACCAAACCAATTTTTGGTAAACTTGTAATCTTCATAAGAAAGAACAGTGAATTTACTTGAAATTACCGTAAAATGTTTGAATTGTTTTATGTTTGACGGGCATTTAAAACATTGCAGGAATACCTATCAGGTTTTTTCAAGGCTGCTTCAAAGTAAATTGAAAAACATTCTTGCTACTTTTATGGGAGAGTAGACTAAAAAAATATTTCAGTCATCTCGCAAGTTTCAGATCTCATTTAGGTGTGTAAAATTTTTTGGTTCCTCCAAGCTCAGGAAATAAAGTTAGAAACTAAAATTTCAAAGCAGTTTTTCTGTCGCGATGCAAGTATAAGAGAACGCAGCTACTCACCTCTCAATCAACAATGAAAACTAGCGCCCTAGCATTTATTTTAGGAGCCAAATGAAGATCAAAGCTATCCAAAATGGGCGGACTAGCTTTGTGCATAATTTTGTGAGATTTTAAAAACTGACTCTTGTCCAACCGACTATTTTTGTACCACTGGGATCCCTTTTTCCTTAACCAACAGCCCCTCCTAGGAGAAAGTAGCGCTATAAAATTGGGAAAAAAATTCAAAATTTTTACGTTCCTAGAGTTCTGGAACATCAACCTTTCCTCAGTTTGACAGCACTAGGGTTTGTTTTCTTTTCAGTGATTTCATCATTCTCATTTGGAAATAGTTACTCTCTGAAAAAATGCTTTCTCCTGGTCCGTTGTTTTGATCTTGGGTGCCTTCTTGCAAATGTAGGTTTCTTCATAGACCTAGCAATGTGTAACTTTTTAAGCTACGTCTAATTCCAGCAAAATTTCTCTGCTCGATAATCACACTTTCCGAGAGTTTCTAAGAACTTTTCAAAAAAAGAACGGACAAGTTCAGAATCAAGATTTTTTATTTAGACCACTTTTTAATTGTCTCATAAATCTGTTTTCATAGTATGGATCTTTTAGATTGACTGACCTAGATTCATTTTCAAGTGCCATTGAACTTAAAATTATCAATTACTACTACTGCCATCACTTGTATTTCAAACTTTCGACTGATTCTAATGGTTTTTTCCCCTTAATTTTGTTGTTCAGTTTTTATAAAAGGCTATTGATTATTATGATCTGCATTTTGTCGGAAAAGTTCTTAAGAATCTCCTCAAGTTCTACCTCATCTCTCCAGAGTTTTCCAAACTAGACTCTCAAATCATAACATATTCATTATACTCATCCATAATTTTTTTTCTACTTTTAGATGTAATCTATAATGATTTGCTTCAAAATCAATATACGTTTTTACACTTTCAACTTTTTCAACAAAGCAGGTCTTGCATGAGCTATTGTTGATTTCAACTTTTAAATGGACAGTGATAATTTTCAGCTTTCACCTTTTATGTTGGCAAGCATTTATTTTATGATCTTTTTACATGGACGATTTCCTTACATTTTTTAATTCATGTTAAAATACTTCTCTAGAAAGATTGGATTAATAAGACAAGCTTTCAGTCTAAAGTAAGAGGAATGAAATTCCTCTCTTTTTGTCATACTGCATTTTGTCACCTTCCCCGGAATTGATACAAGCGCCATTTACGATGAGGCATTATGTTGTCTGACTTCTAAAACTAATGAACAGAATTACTTGCAAATTTATCTACCCAATATTTCTTTTGTCATCAAAATTATTTTCTGTAATTTTCATGAAAGAATGTGTCAAATTTAAAGAAAAAATAAAAAAAATAGAGATGTCTAGCAACATAGCGTCAAAGCTTAAATGGTGCTTGGTCGGAAAGTAATGCTTTATTCAACGAAACAGAAGATAATTTTGAGTTCTTTGAATAATGTCGGGGGTTTTCCGGCTTTTTTTAGTAGTTTATTTTACAATGATTTTTGACGCATGAGTCTGATATGGGAGACCCAAAGAAGTGGAGGAAAAAAAAACAAACCCTATTTTGCTCCGAAGAACAATTTTTCATCCGAAATTTTAGAGAGAGACAAGTGACTTTCAGAAGTTTTTTTTTGTACATACCTGTTATTAATTTGGTTGTTTGATAATTCTTTTCCATTAATTTGTCAAGAGTTTATTGGAGATGCTGGCGTGTTTCTCAGGCGATAAGTTGTATGGAGGGGCCTTCCTATTGATTTTGTTTCCTTTCAGAAGTTTAATTGTTTTGAAGTCTCACGAAGAGAGACCGAAACTGTGTATGGTTTTCTCCTTTTTGTATTTTTTTATTTATTTGTTTGTTTCTTTATTTCCTAAGTATATATTGTAATTATTTCTTATCAACTCACATTTCTATGTTGCTCTCTTTTTAGGAACCCCAATTCTCATCGTTGGCAGATCGTATTTTTAAAGTTAGGATGTTCAAATCTTCGTTTACGATTTCATCTCTTAAAATTTGAAAATGCAATGAGACATTGGCATGTTCAGTATGATTACACAAAGAGATATCGTATGATGGTAGGCAATTTTACTTCAAGTCATCAAAATTAATTGACACATCCAGAACTTAATAAGAGGTTTTCGGATCAAAGATGTTTACAACATAATCCAGTGGTGAAATAGTTTCAATCAGCATGTAAGTAACAAACAACACTTAGATTGTCTCTACTTAAGATTGATCATACAATTATATTTCTCTTCACAAACCAAAAAGAGAAAAACGAGCCCTATTTCAAAACAAAGAAATCAAAAGACTTAGATGATTGATGTTTCTTCGAGCAATTATTAATCGAGCCAATCAGTATTCCTTTTTTATTTTCTTCTAAGTTTGTATGTTTACAGCATATTCTGATGTATTTATAGAAGCAAAGTCTGATTTCTACTTACACTGAAAAATCTATATAAATCCCAACTATTTTTCATGTTATCTGATTAGAGTTCAGCTATTTTACCAACCTATCAATTGTATGGATTTAACGAGACTGATAATGAGATAGCTGCTCAGAGGGGAAAGGGCGGGCACCTGGACTCTACTTCAGAATCCACGCTGCAGATGAATAAAGAGCCTTTCAACACCAGTTAGTATGGTTTCATGGCTTAAAAGTACCTAGAAGCTGCTTCTCTCAGGCCTCAAATCCGAAAAATGAATTTGGAAAAGATTCATACCTCTCCTTCAACTTGAGTGAATGTTCCCCCCCACCCCTCCCCTCATCACTTCAAAATACCAAGACATAGCTAAGATTTAAAAAAAAAAAAAGACCCCATGGTATGTTTAAAAACAGAGAGGCTGCAAAATTATTCTCAACATACCTTTGAAAAGGATCTTGAAGGGTTAGTTTTATCTCAAAATCTATCAGTATTTAAGTAAAATTAATTTTAAAAAAAAAAAAAAAAAAAAAAAAAAAACTCTTACTCAGAGAGAGTAGAGCTTCTGCCAAATAGGCATATCAGTAAACTTCTTATCACTGCAGTCAATAGAGAAAATGAAGTACTCTCCAAGAAAATTAGACACATAGCGAGGAAATTTCCCAGTCAATGACTTCAAGTAAAAACTGTTATCCTCGCGTTCCTGTCATCATTTTTGGGGGAGGGGTGAAAATATCCCTTTTTTCCGTGGCTGACCATTGATACCTGTAAATATGCACATAATAACTTTTAGCTTTTAAATTTTCACCTTAACCTGACCTTGCCCATTTTTGCGAGGGTGCGGTCATTAAATATCAAGCTTTCAAATTCTCGTTTCGCTATGCGAATTGAAGACTTTTTGGAGTTGTAGAATTAATCTTACCCTAGTCCTTCAACACTAAAATGGAGTTTTTCCTGAGAATTTCAGGGATTCTTGTTCATAAACGTCAGTTTTTGTTTCAGTCTCTCACCAAATACTCAAATGCTGCATCCATCTTGTATTTGTTTTTTTGTGGATTTATTTCCGTATCTCATCTCATTATATAAAGACTCACTTGAGGACTATAACCAAGTTGTTTAATTTAGATCCCTATTTCTGTACATACCATACCATAAGATCAACTATCTAACTTATTTTGTAAAGTGTTTTTAGAATAAGAATAAACACTAGTGTCTGAAACTGTCCTTTGACTTTTATCACAATAATCCCTTCAAAACGTAGTCATAGTGTCTTGTTGGCGGATTTGTTGTAGACAAGGTAACTTTCGTCAAAATCGCGCAAACTTGTTCAAATTTTTTAATGGCTTGCTCTTCGTCTGTATGAAGGTTGGGTTTGAATTTGAGCTCATGGACATTCACTGTTTTCGACTTGCGGGCTTTTTGTATTTCCGCTCTGAGAAAAAGAGGATGAAAAGAGAAAGGAGTAAAAAAGAGAGGGAAAAGGAAAAGAGAAGAAGAATAAAAGAGTGAGAAGAATAAGAAGAGAAGAAAAGGAAAACCATGAAAGACATAACCATGTTGCGTTTCTAATTGGTTAATATTTCATGACTCGGCACAGCTCAGGCGGCTCCCAGCCGTTCGTTTACGTCAATGGGTCAGGAAATATGAGATCAATAAAAAAACGTGGTTACGAAAAATAATCAATTTATCAATAAAAAATGTACTCTTCTCCAATTCAATCTCATCTCTGATATACAACAATGTTAATAAAAACAAAAAAACCTGTACAAATAAACTGCTGCAGTACACATTTACAAACAAGGTACAGATTAAAACAAATCTAATTAACAAAATGCTCAGCCTTTTAATAAATTAATGCTCTACCAGAAATAATAGAGTCAACTGGTAGAAAATACCTCAAATCCTATAGAGTCAGGAGGAGGCTTGATGAGACAACAAGAGTTGGAGGGTGATCAAAACTCTAAGCCCCAAAAAAGCTGAAAAATCTTATTGTACAGGAAGACTTCACCACGAAATTTTGTTCCTGGATTAATTTTTTTTCAGTTCATGCTCTTTTTTATACTCTCCTCTAATTTTTTTGAGAGGACAGGGGATACTTTTTGCAAATTTGAGGGCTGTATTCGTAGCCGTTCCTTTAACAGCTCCTTCCCTAAAGAGTCTCATATGGTTCACATTATGATTAAAGGAGGTTCAATGAGCTCCTTAACAAAGCATTAAAATAGAACAATTTTGACAGATCTCCAATCAAATTAAATTATGAAGCTTCAAGATAGGCCCATGTAAGGGATTTCAATGACTTGCTATGACAAAAAATTAAAAACGTGCAATTTTTTTTTTTTTTTTTTTTTTTTTTTGTGATTGTGACAACCTTTAAAGTACATGTAGAGTTACCTTAAAATTTTCAAAACCTGCAAGAAATTTTCTTATGTTTTCATAATTGTTTGCGGTGGCAAATCATTGAAATTCCATGAAGGGTCAATTTCCAAAGTTATGCTATTTAATTTGACTAGAGACTGATGAAATTGCCCTTGTGAAGCTGTGTTAAAAATCTCCTTCAACTTCCCATAACCACAATGTAAACCAAAGGAACGGTTTAAAGAACGACTATGAATCCAACACTTATCATTCAAGATAGAAAAACATCTTGATCAATTCAATGCACTTACAAAACAATTATACTCACATTTCTAGATGAGAATAAAAACAAGTGAAGTGTAAGCGCCCTTGTAAATGTCAAGCTGTATTAAGAAGTTGGAGCATTTTATCACTTGTTTTCTAATTTTCAATGATTTTAGCTCACTGAGCACATACTTAATTAGATCAAATACAGGGCAAATGAAAGAAAAAACCGAATAGTACTTTGTTACAGATACAGATTTAGAGAAAATAGGTTTGTAATGATAGCTGGGAATGTTATTGGATTAGGTAAGCATAGATATCCTATGCGTAGGTTTATCTTGAAATCTAGTCCACATTTCTATCTCCAGAAATTAAAAATAGAAAACTTGTATTAAATGTATTCCATTGAGAATTTTCAGAAATTCGTCTGTTTGAATTTCAAACTTCAGACACAAATAATGGTTCAGATATTTATTTTCAAATGAAGAATTTGGTCTTCTCTTGATGCTCTCATCAAAATCTGAATGCTGAGTGAAATCTGAGAGTACTGTAATACATCGGTGAAGGGGCTTAAAAGACAATTATCTCAATTATAATGATGTATGTTTTCTGCTCTTGCTACTCTTTTTTCCAGAGAATTTTACACAACTTTTCTGCTTGAATTTTAGTGAGGATATTCTTCGTTAGAACAGCAGAGTCACAGGAAGTTTTGTGCAATAATCGTAATAGGTTAAAAAATATAACCATTAACCGTAGTGGGTAAAAAAAAGGGTAGCGATATGAGATTTTAACACTGTAAATCGAAATACATGTCTACCTAATTTCACCGTCCATACATAGTAACAAAAGAAATTCAGTTTGTGCGCATTGTGAGAGCCATAATTTTCAATTCATTGACCAATTTTCTTGAGTTTTCCAGTCTTCAATACAATTTTTTGATATGTTTGAAAAATCTACAAAGAAGAGCTCCAAGTACAATAAATTACAATTAATTAATAACGTTGAATGATAAAAGTGCAGAAAAATTGTTAAGCCAGAAATGCTGATAATTCTTCATTAAATATTGCTGATAAGGCTTTTTCCAGAGATGGTCTCAACTTTGTTCAGAACTTTACAATGGCTTGCAACCAGCTTTCGAAAAATTAAAATTGAGTGAAAAGATTTGGTGTTCACTAAAGTTACAAAATATTCTGGGGTTACTTTAAATGAATTGAAAGCTAGAACGATCTAAAAGCAAAAGCGATAGAGAAAATCAGCAAAATATTCTAGAGAGAGATTTAGCAGAGGATTTTAAAATCACCTTGTTGAGTCTGAAAAAGTACGGCAAAGTTTTTGTCATTTGCCAAGAAATCAGAATGGATCCAAAGCAAATAAGCTAGAAATGCCCTCAATTCTTAATTTTTTCCTCAACCATATGGAAGAAAAATTATGCCTAGTGAAGGAAAAGACTTCTGAACAGCCCTCCTAAAAATAAAAGACACCGATAAATGAGCTTGATCAAAATTAAAAACAATAAAAATATGACTAACAAAAACAGCGCTAAAAAAAATTAGATAATCTACACTTCTAGATTATATACAAACTGAGAGGGCAATATAAAAAGAGAGTTTGAATTTACAAGAGTTACAAGTTGCAGAAACAGGGAAAACACTAAAAAGAGGATTAAAACTACAGAATTAAAAAAATCGAGTTAAAAAGATGTTAACAATTAGAAAAAGTTTAAAAAATCAATAGAAAAGTAGATGCTAAAGTGAACGGTTTTCAGATTTTGTCAAAAATCACCGGATTTATCACTTAACTAGATTTGCCAAAAAAATTAAAATTTTTCAAAATACACCAGGTCGACAATTAAAATAATTCAATTATTGATAGGTAAAAAAAATGAATTCAGACCATTAAAAGAAGAATGCAAGAAAGTTGATCGTTCTAGTTTCTAACTTGCATTTTTCTAATTATCAGCTGAGATGGAGCCTCAATTTATTCATGAACTTCCCTTCTCAATTTTGGTTTAAATACGCAAGGATTCTTCTCTCTTTACAGGGATACAAATTATGTAAAAACCATACTACAAACAAACATAGAGAAAGTAAAAATAGCTTCAGCCAAACATTAAGGATCGTTACATTCCTTGATAAAAAATTTCACAATTGAAATTATATTTTTGCAAAGGTCCTGAGCGCTATATCCAAGTTTTGAGGGAAACGAGAATACATACCCCATTTGACGTGTGTTCAATCTTTCAGCCCAAAAAATGTTCAAGAATAAAGATTACAAATTGAAACTGAGCTTCAAGTTTTAAAGTAGGTTCTTTTGTAACATACATTTTTTGGGCTCAAAAGATAGAACGTATGCCGAATGACACACCTTATTTTGTTTTCCTTGAAAATTGGATTTTGGCGCTTGAGCCCTAAGAAAAATATTAGTACAATTGCCATTGTAATTTCAACAGTATTGCTCATTTTTGGAAGTATTTTTGAAATTTAACTCGACTTAACAGTAAAAAAACAAATAAAATAAAGCCAAAGCAAAGCTTTAACAATTCATTATGTTTAACCCGCATTGTTTACCCTTATACGAAATTTTAATAGGGTACGTAAGGAAACTTTTCAAGGATGAGAGTGACGTCTGGTGAGTTTTCGGCACAACCTGGCCACCAGTAAGTAAATACAATTAAGAAAACATCAAACAAAACAAGAAGCTGAATAAATAATAAAATAAAACGATAAATAAATACACTGTACACTTCTTTATACTAGTTTTCAGGCACATTTATCACTGGAATAGAGCGTTGCGCATTTACTCAACTTTCAGACGTTTGCTGTATTCTTCTTGCTGTTTTTCTTTCCATTCTTTCTTTGCCTTCATGCGCTTTAGCTGGCCATCCCTGAAAAATAATAGATTATTAGTAGGCGATCATTGCATAATAAACCATTAGAATGGGCTAAAATTCAAGCACCAAAATTTCAAATAAAAAACAACATTCATATCAAACAGTTATAAATTCAACTCCCTGATGTAAGATAAGCATTTTCCACATCTGTAAGTTAAACTTCTTAATTTAAAAAACAAAAAGGTCTACTGAGCCTTATGGAGCACTAACCTCATTTTGGCTTGCTATACAATGAAGTAATTTCATCCCTTCCTAAATTTTTCTTATTGAGTTTACAAGTTCTGTGTATCAGAGTAGGAAGGCATTTTTGTGAAACAACTTTACCTATCTACTAGACAAAAAGATTGTCTTCATCTCTATACAAAAAAAAAAAAACTATTCTTAAGTGCGATCCTACTGATGAAATTGCCAGAATTTGCTATCGTGCGTAAAAAAAGAAAAAGAAAAACGTATAAGTGCAATTTTTTACTTCCAAACCAAGATATTAACAGGTTTTTTTTTACATAAATTCAGACTTCCTGCTAATAAAAAAAAAAAGACCATAATCTACTTAAGTAAAAACGCACAAAAAATGTTATCATTACAGTCTCTGCAGTATTAAATATAAAAACCTCGATATAGGTCCTTTGACTGTACTGTTGCATGTTGAACAACATGAGAAGGGAAAAAACACCGCTATGTTAAGGAAGTTTGTCGAAACCGTTGCAAAGCAAAATTTGATTCACATAGACTCAAGTTTTTCTTGTGAGCTGGAAATTCAAATTTTTCAAAACCAATGCTGAATAAAAACACTGAGGTCTTGGTTACAAGTTAATTTCAGTAATTTTTGTTTGGAAAATTTTGCTCTAATTGAAATTTAGAAGAGGCTAAATACATCGAAGTGATAAATTTGTAACCAGTGGTGTGGCGTAAATGATCGATAATCAATATATCGATCCTTTTCCATAGGTTTGAATGACAGATCCATCGATACATCGCAATTCACGCCACGCCACTGTTCGTAACTTGTCTTGTGGTCCACTTTTAAGGTAACATTTTCCTCACGATTTCACCCTCTTAATCAGCTCTACAAACTCCCTAGAGACATCTAGAAAAAAGCTATGCATCTAGCATCAAGTCCATGCCACATAAGTTTACACTTTTACAATGTTACAATGGGAGATTGTCTGATGTCAGTTTAGTATTAAAATTAAATGCAAGTATCAAGATGACAAGACAGTCTAGAAGTGCGTAAACTTATTTGCGGTGGACTCTTAATAAATGATGTAATTTTCTCACCACATAAGGTCGACTAAGCCACCCTGTTTGGCAATGACTCTCTTCACTCGGTTAGCGAAATCTATTGCCGATTCCTCAGGCTCCTGGTACATGGGCGGTAAGTACCAGACATCACAGACTATTGCCCAGCTGGTCATCATCATATACAGGTACTGCATCATTGAGTATTTGCTGCTATTCCAGAAGGCATCCCCAAATCTTGGATCGTACTGCGGAGAAAAAGAAAGGATTTTCACTTTATAAAGCGTGTGATCAGAGAAAGTCTTTGAGGCATTATTATCAAACAGCCGCAACCCATTGACTTTCCTGAAAGGCTAGACATGTCTTTGTGGGACTGAGCTAAACTGAAATTATGAGGAATGAAAGAGCATGGCACACGATGATATTAAGCCTTTGTTTACACACCTTCAGAAAATTTCTTAAATATTCAATTTACCGATAACCTTAACTCTTTCATTTGGATTATTCTTTCTTAAATTTTTAAAGGCTTCTAAATACAGAGTAAGAATAAAGTCAGATGAGGCTGTTGAATGAAATATTTCATCTGATAAAATGTGAACTTCATGTTATGAAGCATACCTAAACTAGGTAATTAAAAATAAATAAGAAAATGGAAATGCAAGTTATAGATCCATGGCAAATACCATTTCAAAGAAAGTCGACTTGAAACAAATCAGAGTTGGAAACTGCTTGAACTTTGACAGTCACACACTAAACGCCAATGACCCACAATGGACCACTAGACAAGGTACGAATTTCAGCATTCTGATACATGTTTCTTAATCAAAATTGCACGTAAAACACGATGCGCACAACGAAAATTACCGAAATCAACACCTTACAAAGATATTTAATGATTCCTGATGCGTGAATTCAAACCACCCGCTCATTAAAACTCAATGCTCTACGTGATTCACATGGCGCGCTGAACATTATCATGATAGTCTCTGCGATATAAAAAACTGGCAACCTCAATCTTGACGCTTTGGCTCAGCTATAGCAAATTGCTTATAGTTTGAACAACACATGGTGGGAAATGAACATTGCTAGATTGAAAACCTTGCTGAAACCGTTGTAGTGCGCGATTTGACTCACGTAGAGCTTTGAGTTTCTTGTGAGCGGGCAGTTGAAATTCCTTGTAACAAATGTGAAATAAAAACGTTGATATCTTCGTTAGGAGTTGGTTTCAGTAATTTTCGTTGTGCGAATCGTGTTTTACATGAAATTCTGGTTAAGAAACTTGTATCAGATTGCTTAAATTCGTACCTTGTCTAGTGGTCCATTCATGCCTTGAATTTTCTGTGACACACATAAAATTTTCCGTAAACTCTGTGCAAGCGTAATGGTCTTAGAGATTTAAGCTGAGTAAAGCGTTCACTCTGCTCCGCTAGACTCCCCCCCACCCCACCCTTTACACAACTTCTGGCAATTGTTGAATCTGAGACACTGACAGAACATAAAAATTGCTCACCAAAAATGTTGAGAACTTTGAGAGCTGGGCCCTTTGCGGTTAATATGTTAAAAATACTTTTTTAAAATTTTCTTCAGATTTGAGGTCTTGCAGAAGGCGTGTTAATATTTACTGCTCTTTTATGACTAGTAATTATTTTCTTACAGATTATCGTAATTATTTTCATACTTACTTTGATGGCAACCGGATAGATAACACTGCCAACTTCAAAGCTACCTTTCTTAAACTGCATCACAGATGTGTTATTTATACATGTTCCTTCAGGAAAAATTAAAATCGGGGGGTTGTTTGGATTCGATACGTGTTCTCTTAACCTGGAAGCAGAATGATATTGATTAGCAAAGAAATCTGAGTCCTGATTATGCCTCTTGCCTAGAAACAAATGAAAAAATACACTGGGAATTTTCAAGACTTAATATTTATAAGTGATAGCCGCTTACACAGTGTTCTGCAAGGCCTAACTGTCACATTCCCCGATCTTTCGGAAGCCTGTCAGGGAGTTGATACTTCCTCAATTCAGTTAAAATTTCCTACCACCATCTTTTCACTGGGTGTCTCTTTGTTTCCTCCCAGAGGAACACAATCAAGCATCTTCTTCGGCTGCCTTTCTTCTGTCATCCTGTTGCCATAACCATGCAAGACTAGTTGTTCGGTCATGATGTTAAATACGAAGTCATTTTTGACTTCCATGATCTAATGCACTCTACTGACTCAATCTCTTCCAGAAAAGAGAGACTCCATATGACATTACAAAACGGTGCATAAAATCTTAAAAACATTGATTGATGAAAGAAACATAAGATTTAATCGATTTCAATAAATTACATCATTTGATTCCTACTAATTAAAGGGGTTCCTGTAATTTAGAAGAGCCAGATGAGAATCAGATTATGGAAATCCTATATTTTTTTATTCAATTTTTTTAATAGCCTGTTGTTCAGGTTTTCAAAACCCTACAACCATTTCAAAACTGTGAGAATCAGTAGGGAAAGAAAATAAAAATAGAAATAAAGAGACCAGCCGTCGCAACTGCTAGCAATAAGAAAAATTATGTAATTTTTGTGATGTCATCCAACTTTTAAAGTTTTCAAAGGTTTTGACTTCATTCACATTTCAACTGAAAGTTACTCTTCACTTATTTCTTCTTGAATCTTTCTTACTGAAAATACTTGAAAACTAACTTTTTCTCGATAGATAATAGTTAGAAAAATCTCTCACCTACTGGATGAATTCAGATATTCTACCACCTTACAATGTTACTGCATTAAAAAAATTAGGTCAATGCAAAGTGATTGCTGTGTAAAAAAAGCGGTAAACTGAAGCATTTTCATAGATTTGTAAAGTTAAGTCATGATGAGAGAAGACTCAATTTACATACCTTTGAGCTACGGCCTCCCTATCTTTAACTTCAGATCTTTCAAACCAAATATGAGGCGAGGCTCTTGCCAAGGCTCGCTGCAAAATTCCTAAGAAGCCTCCATGGCACTGGCCAATCTGAAAGAGAAAACTAAAAGTTACAACTTTTTAAGAGCAAACTGAATGCTCTAATTCATAAAGGTTTTTTGATCGGTTATAATTTTATAATGTTAATTAGTAAAGAGTCCTTTCTAAATTTTCAATATCGGAATGTTGAGGTAATTGCGTGCTAAAGAGGGTGAGGAATTAAGGGCTACAATACATCTCCTCTTATCAAAATGCCATTAGTAACGATGATGCATACATTTAGCTCTTAATAATTCAAAAATTATTTCAGAATTCAGCGTTCTCTGCGTTCGTCGACTCAAACTACTAGCTTGCGACAAAACCGAAGTCCCCTGAAGTTAAATTCGACCCTAAGTGAATTAATTTTGGTGAGCTTTGTGATGAAACAATTTATTCAGCGCACTGAACTATTCTTGAGAGGATTACAAGTGCTGTCTGTCAATAGAGGAAACAGATTTTAGTGAAAGCAAACGCTGACTGTTTGCTGTATTCATGCGTTTCTTTTTAACTGATGATTAATTGGCACTGATTTTGATTTTCTTTTGTAGGCGAGGAGTTTGTATTTGACAATTCTAATGTAGACAAAAAAACACTAATTTTTCACTTTTTAGTTAAATTAAAACCTTTTGAACATGTGTCAAGTATTCAACATAAAATTTTGGTAAGATCAAATAAACTGTAATATTATAGTTAATACTGTGTCTCGTCGTGAATTGTACCTACTTAATATTTGCTGAGAAAAAAGGTGAAAAAATCGACTCATTTCTTAACAGGAATGATAGACGACAGGAACCTCTCAAAGTGTCAAAGTTTGTGATCTGACATGCTTCAGAAAACACAGAGCTTCTGTTGCTTTTTAGCTAAAATGATTTAATTTCCAAATCTTCATCGAAACTTTTGAAGTTTAACAAGTAACATTTTTTTGCTGAATTGTTAAGTTCTCAAATCAAAAACTCCTGTATTATGTTTGAGTATGGGGGAATACAACCACATTAACCTGGAATTTAGGAAGTTAACGCGTGGCGGCTAACAAAACTCTTCACTCACCAGAGCATAACAGTTATCACAGGCGAGGACCAGCACATCTATCGGAGACGTGTGATTAGCAACGCAGATCCCATTTTTAGGCTTGTTCTCTGGATTGTGGTAGTTGATAACAGCAGAGATAGCACTAGACAAGACTTGGAAACACATTATCGAGACATGGTAGTTGAGCCAACGCTTGAATTTGCCTTCAGGGACATAACCCACGATTGCTGTACATATTGTTAGCCACATTACCTGGGAGCAGAAGTAGAGAAAAACTTGGATTAAAATCAAGACAAAGACAAAATAAAAACTTTCAACTCACTTCTCAAAGTATTTTAATAAAATAAAGTAATACAGCTTTTGATAGTATTCTCTCTGAAGCTTAGTAAAAAAGCTGATGAAAAAATGAAAATACCACNTACCGCAAGCGAGCGGAACTCGCCCAGAGAGCAGAAAATACCGAACACAATAGCGGAAATGGCGGCAAATTACTTCGTTATATGCGAGGTGCCGCCGCCGAGACTTCGTTAAAAGCGGGCTTTTTTATTATTGAGTGTATAGGGAGGTTCTAGGGGAATGAGAATTACTTCGTTATATCCGAAACTTCGTTAAAAGCGGGTTCGTTATATACGGGCTCCACTGTACCACTCAGTTATCATCGGAAACTTGGGCAATTTGAGGAATTACAGTTTGTAAAAGTTTCTCACAATTATTTTTCTTGTGAAAAAATAGTATTTAGAAAATTGGGCAACATAAAATGAATCAGTGAGAACGAAAACACACCAACTCCGAAAAATGAAAATAATCAAGACACACACAAAACTGCAGAATAGGTGGAGAAGTTAGTTTAAGAGAAAGATTTTTGCTGCCGAAAGACAAGCACTTATTGACACTTTAAAGGTCCAAGTTGGAACATATGCGCTAACTTCAATGACCTTCGCGTAAATTAACTGTCTTTAATGGAAATTGAGCATTTTCGAGTTACCAAGTTGGTGTGTTTTCATTCTCATTGATTCAAATACTGTTAGGTTGATTCTGGTTGAATTTGTCAATATAATATCATGAGAGTTATTTCTCAATGAGAAGTCCGAGTGCGTACTTACACCAAAGAAGCAAATTAATATCCTAGTGGGTAATAAGAAAGTATATCGAAAGATGAATCCGATCATCCAGATTATTGTCAGTCTCCAGCTGATGAATTCATAATGTCTGTTTGTGCGTGTTAGAAGATTCCATGACTGTAACATAAAAACACAATCAAAGATTTAAGAAAGGAGAGACAGTTAAAAGTTAGTGAGAGGAAAAGAACAAAACTAACAGTGTTTGAGAAATGGCAGTCAAACGTGTCAGACAGTAAACATATTACTGATATTGATTATGAAGAGTTACTTTACTTCAAAGAATGAAATCATTTGATTTTGGGACCATATTCATGTTGCTTTGGACTTAAAGAGTTAACTATATAACTTCCAATTGAAAAACTATGCTCCTAACCAGTTGCTCAGATAAAGCATAGAGCCACTAGGTTGTGGCAAACAGTTGCGTGGCATGCTTTGCGATATATCGATTGTTATGTCATTTAAACCTGTGGAAAAGGATTGACAAAAAGGGTGTTTGCGAAGAACACGTTAATAATCGATTCTTTACCATAGCTTCAAATGGGGAAATATCGATAATCCATCATTCACGCTTCGCCACTGGTGGCAATGGCCCAAATTAAGGCCACTTATTGTATGTAATTGATCACTTGACGATGCTACATTATCGAATTTTATGAGCCATTTGAACTGGCAAGCCTAATTTTTTAGAGTCGTCAGAAATATTTTGACAGTTGAACTCTTTTATATCGTATTACATTCCCGATTAATGAGATTTGCTACCCCCGAGGAAAGTTTCCTCAGATGAAAGCATAGGTGAGATATAGATAAATATTCAGTGGGATTGATTGGAAAAAAATAATATTACTTTCAATTCTTCTGCTTCGAATCTAGAGGTGACTTGATCTTCTATGATAGCTTCCACTCCCGCTTGTACAAAAGCTAGAACGTCTGACAACCCGAAATCTTTCTTCAGATCATCTAGTGAGCATCTTCGTGAGAGAGGTCGTTTGCCCTGTAAAAAATAAAAGAATACCAAATTATGTCAGGAATGGAACGGCTTCATTGCAAAGAGATATGAATACTTCAGCTTTCAGTGCCACTATTCGTCTCGCAATCTTTAAAATGGAAAACTTCTGTCTTTCTTAATCTTGACTGAAGTTAGGGCTAACCAAGTCACTGTTGTCTGTAAAATACAATTCATATTTATGCAAGACAGAGTACAAAAGATATAAAATGGGGATCACAATGCCATTGTGACAATGATGAGTTGTATTAAGAAAAGCAGATTTAAAAAAGATGGGCCTTTGATTTTAAGTGTTGTCGCTTTGCTGGGAGAATAAGAATTTTTGCAAAGTTATTCATTTGAAATGAAATCGATTATTTCAAACTTTTTGCTAACTATTTGGTGACATAAATAAGTAACTGGGAAAATGTTTCCATGATCTGAGGATAATTTATTAGGAGAGAACCTGCGGGTCGCTGTAAATTTCCTGATTTTCTAGATTTCCAGACCGTCAGAGACACTGTTCCTATACCCCTGGATCGTTGGACGGATCGGATTGCTCTGTTTTCTCTTTGTCTCCTTTGCTTATCGCCTTTTTTGCTTATCTATCAATGTTAATAACAGGGTGTCAAGTTTTTTTTTCATTTTTGAAACTCCTAATTTTTCCTGATTTTTGACTGCTAAATCCTGATTTCATAATATTTCCAAATTCTGATTTCATAATATTTCCAAATCCTGATTTTTTGCGAAAAGAAATTAAAATCTCTGCATAAGCCTATGCGAAAGCAGTCCGATCCGACGGCCAACTTCTCTCAAATCCTGATTTTACGATAAATTTTTCCTCAAATCCTGATTTTACGATAAATTTTTCCTCAAATCCTGATTTTACAATAAATTTTTCCTTAAATCCTGATTTTACGATAAATTTTTCCTCAAATCCTGATGAGTTCGGAATTAAATCCTGATTGACCTCAAATCCTGGTAGAATCGGGAGAATCCTGATGCTGGACACCCTGAATAATTGTCACGCAGGTTGCTGCGAATTCCCTGACTTTCCAGGTTTCCTGACAGCCAGGAACACTATTCCTATACCGCTGGGGTAGGACTTACTGCTAGCTCATTCACTGGAAAAAAACCACATTGGATCTAGAGTCCAGACTCTTGAAAACATCGACAAGAAAAAGGACTCTTGATTCAATCAGAATCTAGCTTAGGTAAATCAAAAGGAAATCCGCTCAAATTAAGAGGCTTGGTTCTTGATTTAAGCTTAAATCTGATTGAATCGAGAGTATTTTTTCTTGTCGATGTTTTTAAGAGTCTGGACTCTAGATCCAATGTGTTTTTTTTTCCCAGTGTGGATTGCCGTTAGTTAGTCTATTACCTACTTCCTTTATCCATTGCAACCACCCGCTTCCATCAATAGGATCCCTCCATATCCCTTCTGTCTTCTTTGTCCCTGGCTTTGTCTTTCAATGTCAATAATCGGCCTGCTGGGACTTATGATCGTACTTACGCTGGAGGTTGTATCATCGAGGTTGTTCCCGATGGAGTTACACTCCGGGTCGGGGGCGAGGATGAGCCCCTCGCGGCTGATGACCGAGTTGGTGGAGACGACCGAGCCGTTCCGCACGATCTCGCCCATCTTCGTCTCGGAGACGGTCGAGTCGTCCAGCTCCGACTCCCCGGCGGCCGCCTCCGCGAGGATCCGCGGCACCTCCACCGCCTCCGTCCCCGGCGACGCCGCCGCCGAACCTCCGCCTCCGCCTCCGCCACCGCCGTCCCCGTCGCCGTCGTCCTCCGCGGCCGCCCTCGCCGCCGCCGCCGCCGCCGCTAGGGCCTCCGCCTGGACCTTCGCGCCCCGCTGAGCTTTCTTGTCTTTCTCGATGCAGGAGCGCCCGTACTGAAACACAAAATAACATATCCTTAGTCACGGTTCAAACCGTTTGTGGTAAAAGGGCGTGAGTCCACAAAACCAATTTTCATGTGATAAGTAATAATATTGGGAGGGTATGGATTCGATCGTCATGAATCGATCGAAAAATGAAAACGTGAATCGATCGACATTACTCGATCAAAAAAGGAAAACATGAATCGATCGAAATTACTCGATCGAAATTACTCGATCGAAAAATGAAAACGTGAATCGATCGACATTACTCGATCGAAAAATGAAAACGAGAATCGATCGACATTACTCGATCGAAAAATGAAAACGTGAATCGATCGACATTACTTGATCGACATGAATCGATCGACACATTTTAAAAAAAACCGGTGTCGATTCGATCGACATGAAGTGTTCGGAAAACAAGAACGTGAATCGATCAACGTGAATCAATCGACAAACCCATGAATCGATCGAATCGGTGTCGATCAATTCACGTCGGTCGATTCACGTTCTTGTTTTTCGATCGATTCATGTCTATCGAATCGACAGTGGTTTTTTAATAATTTGTCGATCGATTCACGTTCTTGTTTTTCAATCGATTCACGTTCTTGTTTTTCGATCGATTCACGTTTTCATTTTTCGATCGATTCATGTCGATCGAATCCACACCATCCATAATATTGCAATCGGAGGAATTTCAGCGGAAAAATATCCGCAGTAAGAGTAATTTCATCGGAACAATATTCGCGGTCGAGGTATGATTTTGACAAAATAAATAAGCGCGGTCGAAGTAACTTGAACAAAAAAATAAATCAGCCTAGGTGATATCAACAAAACATTAGCGCAGCTGAAGGTTATTTACACAAAAATCTGTGTGCAATCACTACTTTAGACATTTATAGCACCTGTAGTCGTCAGCGAAGAGTGCACTTCTCATACATTAATTCACTGACGCTGCGAATTCAAATTATCGCGAGCAATAAAAGGTGCGCCCGCGCGTATCCGATATAGCGCCTTCAACATCGGGGAAATACTTCAAACGCTACACCGTTACGCATATACGTTCCGATGTGCAAATTGCCTATACTGCGCCTGCCGGAGTGTACACCATGCTTTGAGGTGTTCACACACCCTCCACTCGCAATTTGCAGAGTCTGCGATCGAACACATTCCGCGTCATTCTGCACGCCTGGATGATTCTGTATTTTCTGAAGTGTTCAAATGGTGGGTCAACGCGTTTATCTGAAAGCTCTAGAATATCTAGAATAGCTCTAGAATATTTTTTGCAGTGGGAGAAGTTTCAGTGCTCTTTTAATTGGTATTTGGAGTGTAGCCGAGTGCTAGAAATAATGTAAAATTTTCTTTAAAAAACTTACATTTTATTAACAAACTTGGACCGAAGCTTTTCGAAGCAAACGCTTCGTCGTCAGGATCACAAAATCGATATCACAAAGGCCATGACGATGAAGCGTTTGCTTCGAAAAGCTCCGGTCTAAGTTTGTTAATAAAATGTAAGTTTTTTAAAGAAAATTTTACATTATTTCTAGCACTCGGCTACACTCCAAATACCAATATATTCAATGCTACTACCTTTCAGACATTGTGTTACAATGTTCGCTGATTTTGATGCTCTTTTAAGCTGATTTGAGGTTTAGGTGGTGCGACCTTTTTCAAGAAAATGAGGGAAAACTGGACAGAACGGAAAACAACAAGTAAAGACCATAAAATAAGTACGAATAAGTAAAGTCAAGAAACTCGGCCACTCAATGCGACTGCCGCTGATGCTTTCATTGATGTCTATCAGAAGGACACCTCGGTTTCTAAGTTACTTTTTCGCGTTTTAATTGTACGCATCGTATTCTACGCGTCATTTACCCCAAGTGAAATGTATTCGCAAGTCAAAATTCGTCCATGGTTAGGTGACCCATTCGAACGTGATCGCGGGTGTCTATGAACTCAGGAGGAGTGGGGGGGGGAGGGGGATTCTCTGATTTTTGCCGGTTTGTCGAAAATGATCAAATGTTCCTGACTTTTCACATCAACAAATTGCAATCGTAGAATTGATAATCAGCTATTTTCGGCATTGCTTTCACTGTAAATGACAGAAACATGTCAACTTCCTTTAGTCGGTAGGTAACCATTCATTCTACTGATATTTCAATGTCTCAAATTGAAAATTGTTCCTCAGTTCACAGAATTAAGTGGTAGTCAGAGCATACATTGTGAGCTCCAAACCAACTTTAGGTTCAGTTTGATCGTGTGGACAACGCTGATGTTTACATTTAACAAAATGGAGTTTCTTAGTTACGTAGCTTGGAGCAAGCTCAGACAGCCAGTGAATAGCATTTTTAAAATGGAAATTAATTTGAACTTCGCATAAAGAAGAGAAAATTCGAGAGGCAATTGAAAAATAAAACAAATGTGTTGATAAAAAACACAAGGAGCTTTCGAGGAAAAAATGTTCAGTCTTATTCCCATAAAATTACCGGACTTTTCTCTGATCTCCATGACCCAATAAAAAGTTCTCCAACGAATCTCAGTTTTCCGGATCTAAAAGTATTCGGATAATTTTTTTTTTTTAAAAAACCTTTCTAGATTGCCGGATATGAAGGAATTCTGTCTTCATGTTTTTTGGGAACCCAATCTTAGAGACTTGCGTGAGCTTCTTAGCGGGCAATCGCCGCACAGAGTCAATCGAGTCAATCAGAGAGGCCAGACATGAAATTTACAACTGAAACTGCAAATTTTTTTTATTTAATCCGTCACATATTAACGATAAAGGGACGCTTCTGAACGAAAATGTCGCGAGGAAACCAATGGAACCACTTTTAAAACCGTAAAGTTTTGTATGAACGCAGTTTAAGCTATTAAAGTTTCCAAATTTTGTCTGACCTTTCCCACTGACTCGATCCGCTGTGCGCTGCGCTGGGCCGCGTGCTCTGATAACGCTTGACTTTCGACTATGTTGGGATAATCAGTCCGATTCGTCATTCTCACTGACCTTCCTGACTCGACGATTTAACGCTAAGCACGGGCCTCAAATCCTCTCTGGTCGGTCACGCGAAAATTCTTCGTGATTAATTATGAGTCTAGTTCACGAATCGCTTTGCAGCCAGACTCTTGAAGACGCGATTTTATGTCGGGGGTACTTGAGCTATACAGGGTGATCCAGGGTTAAACGGCCAGAGTGCAGAAGCCGAAACACCCGAAAATTAAATGCCAACTTTTCCATGAATACCGCCCTGATTTACACAAGCGCAAAAACCAACGGAAAGCCATTCTAAGCAAGCTACGCGTCGATTAGCATACAGATTAGATTAGTTCAGTTCGGAATTATGTAACAGGATACGGTGACTCAATTTCTTTTCATATAATGCGATTCGCAGAGGAAACTAGAGGCTGTTGTACAGAAATAATTACAGGGTGGGTTCTTGGATATGTGCACATGATAAATTAATTGATAACAACTGTGAGAGTGCACATATTTATCTACGAGGGGAGGCAGTTTTCCGCGAAGAAAAACTGATATGCTATGATTAACTTACAACACTTTCAGCGCTGGCAAGCTTCACTAATGATGACTTTTCAGGATTACGAAATGTGAGGTGTGCCTTTATCGCAATACGTCTCCTTCCTCGTTCTCAGAGGTATACTTTACCAAAATTCTCTAAAAACGGGCCTTTGTTATTACAAGATGGGTAATATCTGCTCGAAAAACGATTCGTTTTTTTCACACGTGATATTTATTATCACACTTCAGATGAACGCGTTCGCGTCAACGAGTGAAACGTGTGCGCAAAACATCGACTTCAAGTGGCTTGTGTGTTATGCTGCCGTGCTAAGGAAAAACGCCGCATGAACCCTCGGACGTTGCCAAATTCCCTTTCATTAAACGCGAATCTCCTGGTAAACTTACGGATATTTTTTTTTTTTTCGAATTTCTCAGATAATTTTATCCGCAATTTTATCTGAGATATCTGAAAATTCCAAGAGAAAATATGCATGACTTTTCTCGAAAATTTTAAAACATTTTATCGAAGGAAATCTGACAACTCTTGAACGTTCATACGGCGTTCTTCCTTATCACGGCAGTATGGAGCAAGGTTTTTTTCAGTAAGAAAGCACTTGTTTTTACTTTGTCTCTTAAGATTTTTACGCCTGACCGTCCATAGTAGTCCGGGAGATTTTACGCAAAATTCTCGGCGAAAAGATTGCATAGGCCGGACTGAGCTTAAGATTGAATGGAATGACCCTGCACTGCAATATTGACGCGTGCACCGTACGCAGTATGTGATTGCAAGAGATGAAATATAAAAAATAAGAGACGGAATCACAGCTTTGATCGATAAGAGGCGCGTGAGCTTTCGTTAAAGTTACCGTTAATCGGAATGTTTCTGCTAATTAACGATAACGCCCAAACTATAAACGGAGAAAATAAATAAATACACGTATAGCAGTTCATTTAACTTTAAGCTAATTAATTGTAAGATTTATAAAGGTGAAAAAAATTGGAAAAAGGGCCTAAAGAAGGAAATTCAATTGCTTGGGGCGGCCAAAAAACCTGATTTAAGGTTCACCGCTGAAGACTTTTAAACGCATTTACGAATGAAGGGTCTAAATTTCAAGTCCAAGGATCCGAGAAAAAAAGTTAAGTGGATCTAGAGTCTAGACTCTTCAAAAATTTGACAAGATAAAATACTCTTGATTCAATCGGATTTCCGCTTGAATTAAAAAGAAATCCGCTTAAATTAAGAGGCTCGGCTCTCGGTTCGAGACCAAATCCAATTAAATCAGCAATATTTTTTCTTGTCAAACTTTTTATGAGTCTCGACTCTGAATCTAAGAGACTTTTTCTCGGTGAGCAGGTAATCTAAATAACATTTTTTTCGACCATTTTTTTCAGAGTTTGGCATTAGGGACGGTAATTAGACCGTCGAATTTCGAATGCTTAATTTTTCTGCCAATGGCTTGTAGACAGCTACAGGGTTGCCACAGAATTTAGAAAATATGAT